TAATATTTTATTTCCTCAGTGATGACCTCTCAAGAAAAACTTTGCGCAGCATTTGTTTTGCTGAACTGAGTAAACAAAGCCATTTCTGTTTTCCCATAAAGCAGGCTCTATACATTTTTTATCACCCTAGTATTTTTCTTTGTGCCGAAATTAACTTTTAAAAAAATTTATTATTATCATCACTATCCATATTATTTCAAATTAAAAATTACCAGAGCACTGGTATTCACCTGCATGTACTGGAAATGCCAGGACAGAATTAGTTTTTCCAGCGCTACATCACACAGTCAATGCACAGACATCCTGTGATCAATTAATATACTCCATTACTTAACCTCTTTATTTCTTCCAATTGATGAGTCACCACCTGATAGCAGAAATTCTTGCCAGCAATCTCAAAGTGCATAAACTTATATATTATTCACTTGAATCTCATTCACTTGAATCTCATTCGTTTTCCAACTCTGTGACAGCCAAGGTTATAAAGTAACATTCTTTACAAGTTCTAATCCAGCTTCAATTTCAGCAGCTTTAATTACTATTCCACATTCTCAAAAAAGATGTCATCTGCTGATCAGTATTTTTTGATTCCTTTCTGTTCTTTTCTATTTGTTGAAAGTCTGTTGAAAATACTGCTTCAAGTAACAATCCATTTCATTCTAACATTATTTCTGGAAGTATTATCCTTGCTGGGATAGAAATTCTTGGGTTTTTAAAGAAATTTAACTTCAGTTTCAGATATCTTCCCCAAATTGCTAAGCAGTTCAGATTGGCTGAATTTCTTTAGCTTATGTAAGCTCACTTTACAAGTCAAGCACTTAATACTTTGTTTTTCTTCACTAAAATCTAAACTGAACCAACTTAATCAAAAGCCTTGATGAAAATTTACAATGATTGGCTTAATGGTATTACTTACACAGACTAAATATCACATCGTACAAAACCCCCTTCAAAGGGTGGCTAGTGCGATTTCATGTCTATTTAGTGAAAAACACTCAAGTTCTTCCTTGAAGATCCCAGACATTCCCTTTCTGATGTAAGCTCCGCAATTCTTTAGGCACAGGCATTTTTCTCCATCCTGTATATTCCCACAGAACATAAATCCTTTGAAACCATGCCACCACATGTAGAAAAAAAAACCCCAGTGCTTTTATTTTCAGCTGGATAACTAGTATGTTCTCCCAAGTCAAGGGAAATGTGGGATAAACATCTTTTCTGTATAAGTAGTTTCCCTTCTAGGAACTAGCTTTCAACAGCTGATAAGCAACAAAGTTCAGTTTACTTACTATATTAGCAGTATATGGCTTTTTATGTTTTCTTTTGTCCTCTCTCAAGATAGAAGGATTCCTTGACCACCAGGATTGTGAAGCACAGAAAGGATCCCTAGATTTAACACAGCTCTGGATTCCATTCCAGGGAATAAGCAGAGAAAACTATATTAACTATATAAGAAAACTATATTAAAAATTACTTTATTAGTAGTCCTATGGGACTTAAAAATGTTTTCCCTAACTATAATCCAGCTTATCATCACAATTTTAGATGGATTTGATTATTTTTCCAAAAGAAGCAAAACAAATCAAAGCAAATGTTTTGTTAATTGATGGATATTCTGCATAGATTTTACATTTATTATAGGAGTACAACAAGATTTACAAATCAATTACAAACCATTATCTTCAAGAAAAAAAGTATGAAATGTCATTTTCTTACAATTTACCTTGTAATAAGAAAAGCTTTTCAGCAGTGTGCTGAATTGAAAGTCAGACTGTATTCTCAATAGGATAAAAATACACAAAAATATAATCTCCATCTCTCCAGTAAAAATGTTATGTGTGACAGTGGTCACAGGGGTTCTTGGATGAGGGAAGAGATGAGAATGTTGACTCCATGTTCAGAAGGCTTGATTTATTATTTTATGATATATATATTACATTATAACTACTAAAAAATAGAAGGAAAAGTTTCATCTCAGAAGGCTAGCTAAGCTAAGAATAGAATGGAATGAATAACAAGGGTCTGTGTCTCGGACAGAGTCCAAGCTAACTGGGCTGTGGTTGGCCATTAATTGTAAACATCCGAGATGGGCCAATCACAGATGCACCTGTTGCATTCCACAGCAGCAGATAACCATTGTTTATAATTTGTTCCTGAAGCCTCTCAGCTTCTCAGCAGGAAAAAATCCTAAGAAAGAATTTTCATGAAAAGATGTCTGCAACATTTTTGCTTGATGGCTATTGTAGTGCGTAGTGTTAACAAAATTCATCCAACAGTTAATCCAATAGTGAAGGGTGAGAGAGGCCATGGTTGCTCATTGGGCTTCTCCAGATACAATGCTGTTCAAATATGCAAGCTGCTTAGAAAAGAAAAGAAAAAGGGTAGAGGGGGACAAACAAACAAACAAACCCCAAACAATAAACAAAAACCCAAACAAAACAAAACAAAAAAATAAAACAGCAGGTAATGGCAAAGATGATTTTCCTTCTATGCTCAATGTCAAGTCCCAAAAGTTCTACTCAACAATTTCAATTTCTTCATTCTTTTCTCCTAATGCTCCCTTTCTGACCATTTTCCAGAACACGTGACCAAATAATTGATATGCAGGTCTTGGAGATGACCACATAATGGAGCACTCTAATGGGTTGAAAACCAGGGATTACAGACTGGGTTAATGCTTTGGATGGTCATTAGTGCACTACTGAATAGCTGCAGAAAACATAACTTCTTGTAATGAAGTATTTTGGTAAAGAAAGAAACGCTACAGGAATGACAATTAGGTCGTCCCTCCCTCTAGGCAGTTATATCAACACAACTGGAATGGAAATGACATGTTCCTGGTGTGATTATTGGAATACATGACCACTTGTTAGAGGTTCCCATAGAGTACCTGTGAGCTGGATACACTCTCCATTGTCATGACATGAAAACAGAATGTGCCACTGCGTATGCAGCAGTCACTACAGCCCTGCAGGGTGCTTCAGTGCACAATGGCTCATTGCACAGGCCTTCAATGCAGTCCTCCTGAGACACGATCAATGTCTCACAACAGCAAAGATGCTCCCTGGCTGCTGACTTACTGTGCACTGATCCTTCAACTCCCACCATAGACTTAAGGGGCTATCCTAGCAAAAGGCATTTCATATATAGCCTGCCTTCGAATTAGCTACTGCATCAGCCTGTCATGAGTCCTAAAGCCACAGCAAAATTCATCCTCTCTGGTATTCCACCGTCCAGCTGCTCTGTGATAGGCAAACACTATCTATAAGATAATCAATACAGTTACCCACACAGTACAGCTGAATGGCTCTGAATATAGTCTTGTAGCCAGCAGCAAAGTTTCATTCTTCCTCATTCCATTTGCTGTTGCTGCGATGTGAGCCATACGGTCCTTTTCACCTCTTAACCCCAGAGCCACCTTCATGACTATTTCTTTTTATCTTTTAATGTGGGATTCCATTAAATTCAAGTAGTCCAACACTACATCCTACTTAAACTGAAACAAATGAGATGAAAAAAATTAAAATATCTCTCTCCTAATATTTTCAACATTATTCTATGCCATAAGTTGAGGCCTAAAATATCTTGAACTCATTCTTTTAATCTGCATTTTATTTCTTCCATTCACCTATTTCATGTGTTTCTCTATAGCTTTATCAATTAAGTTTGCTAAAACTTGCCTTATAAACTGCAGTTCTTTATGACTGATAAATATTGCTTTGTCTAATAGTCATTTTAGTCTAAATTTGAGCATACTGTAGCACACTATAAATTATTTGAAAATAATAGTCCATTTTTTCTACAGTTACTGTACTGCACATGGCAGAATAAAACATAATTTAATTATTGGGAGCATCCTACTTGTGATGTTCTTTACTGGGCCTCCACTAAGAAAAAGTAGCGATTACCACAACATCTCAGGTTGTAATCTTTGTGTACTTTGTAACCTTTGCAGCGCACTTTGGTCTCCATGAGAGCCCAGATGTTACAGCTACCTAATAATATAATTTTGTCTTGACCTGCAGGGACTGTATATTGAAATATAAAAAAGATCACAGAAATTATATATCATAAATATAGGAGAAAGCCTGAAATGAAGGTTTGATTTTTCCAAATCACCTCCACAGGCAAAGAAGTGAACAGACTCTAATTTAATTTTCGTCAGCAATCTTCCAGCCTTTCTTACTCTCACACTGCTTTAAAATTGTTCCATTCTCGTGTTTGAAGATTGTCATTAGCTTCAAGAGCAGATTGTCAGCACGTATCAGCTCCCGGTCAAGCCACAGTGTCACCGCAAGAGACCAAATGCCCGCTGAGGTGCAAGGGACGCCGCAGGGATGGAAGCGGCCAGCTCGGTTCTCTGGGCACACACGCTCACCGGCCTGGGGCCGCCGTGCCGCCCTTCCTTCCATGGAGCCCCGCCTGATGTGCAGCGATTTCCTACACCGATTCATAAGTGTTCTTCACTCCCTTGCCCCGTGTCATTTAACGCTTCCTCCTTTCCCTTGCTGTACATTAGGGCAGCCAGGGGCTCTGAGGACACCCAGCCTTGCAGGTGACGGCCGGCGGACGCTCGCCCGTCCCTGCCACGTCCCTGGCCTCGCTCTATGAGATTACCATCTCTGGGTTGATTCCTCCGGCCTGAGGGAACAAAGTTTCTTCCCCAGTGGCCACTGAAAAGTTGTCGTTCATTCCCTTAGCCTTAATTCTCTCCGCCTCTCTTCTCCCTGGTCACAGCTTGCCGCCGGCGCTGACCCCACCCCGCTCCATCTCTGCCAGTCAGGAGACGAGAGGACGTGCCGGCCTCAGGGCTCGGCGCAGGCTGGCGCGGGCATTGCCTCCGTCCCCGCGGCAGCAGGGCTGGCCCCGCCGCCGCCGAGGGCCCCCCGCCGGCCGCAGCAGCCGCCAGGGCGGCCCGGGCTGCCGCCGTGTGCCTCCCGAGGGCAGGGGCCGCGCTGCCGGAGCGCTTTCCGCCGCCGTTTGTCTCCCATCTCTTCCCGTTCGCGGGAGCAGCTGCTGCTGCGCAGCCCCTTCCCCGCCCGCCCGGTCGCTCCAGTGCCGTCGCCTCCTCCTCGCAGCCTCGCACGGCGCGGCCCGGTGAGATGAGCGGGGCCGGGGCGGCGGGAGGCGCTGCAGCCGCCCGTGGGGCCGAGGCGGGCCCGGGCCGGGGGCGCGGGGGGCGCGGGTGAGCGCGGCGGTGCCGACAGCCGTCCGCAGCCGGGGGAGCGGCCGGGCTGTCCGCCCCCGGGTGAGCCCGGCGCCCGCCTGAGGGGCAGCCCCGTGCCTTCGCTCCCGGGGTTAACTCGGCGGGGCAGCCGATCGGGCCTGGGCGGGTTCGGGGTGTCCGGGGCAGCGGCAGTGACAGCCTGGTGTCCCGCGCTGTGCTGGGACAGCGGCACCCTGTTCCTGCTTGTTTCGGTCTTTACTTTGTGCAACAACTAGTGCCAGGATGTGTAAGAGCATGAAACAGGCAGCTCTGACTCTGGGATCTCTTGGATAAACGAGGTCACACGCCCATCCGTGATCTTCCAGTGACCCGCCAGGTCTGCTCCCTGTCAAAGCCATTTACACCCTCCATATCCAGCTGTGCCTGGACGACCTGTTGGTTTAGGCAGCATGCAGCAGGGGATTAAGCAAGTCAAGAAATTTGTTGCAAGCAACTTTTTTTTTTTTTTTTTAACTTCGGTTTATTACATTGGTTAGTCTTGGTACAAAAGTATCATTCTGGCCACCCTCTGACATTAACTTCCGTCATACGGAAGCTGATCACGCAACGGCTGAACTGGTAAAAGAATTTGTAGACAAGAAGGAGATGTGAAGAAGCAGATGGTGCATCTTTCTGCTTTTCTTCTTCGGCAGCCTGGAGACAGTCCTTTAAATTTTCTTTTCTGTCTCCGTATCTTAGTGCTATGTTATTGAGAATCGTTGTTGAAGTAAGTTTTTTTAAGCATTTCTTTAATCAGAAATACTTTGGAGATCGGAAAGTGGCAGGAAGTTTTTAAAGCATACCCTAATGTCTTCCATGGTTGTCTCTCTGTCTGGTAAAGTATCAGTTCCTCCTTTTCTGGGAACAGGAACTTGGGATATGGACTCTTGTTGGCTAGGACAGCTCATTTAGCTTTTCTCTATCATCTTCCTACAAAGCTGACTCTCATCTAATTTTTTTTTAAGACTGTCAATAACTGTTGCTGAAGTTTCAGTGCCCTAGTTTCTTACTACGGTATAAATATTATTGTAATTTTAATGGCTGCAATGCTCCGAAGGGGTCATAGGTGATTTTTGAAGAAAAGGCGTTGATAACCACTTGTGTTGCTACACTTATTTTCTCATTTTTATATATTTGTGAATGAAGGGCAAGTTGAAATTCTAGACCGGATTTCAACAGAAATTTAGGGGATTGTGTTTCATTCTTCACTGTGAACATATGAGAATTTTTAATAGGAGTCCTACTTCATGTTTTTTAGCAATCCTTTTGAAGGCAGAATTACCAAAATGTAATATATTATACTATTGGAACTTTATAAGAAATTTAGATGATTTAGATAATTTTTGTAATCTGTCTAGTCTTCTCAGCTGGTAAAACTGCAGTGAGTTCTGTGTTCAGAACTTGGATTCAGCAAGAATAGCTCACCCTTTTGAAGGAGTTCACAAAATAGCAGTGGCAGTTGGAGATCAAGAAAGATTTATTTAATCAAAGACAAGATTGAAGCTAATAACTAATAAGTGTTTAAAGTTTTAAAATGTTCTGCACAAAAGGAGCAATTTTGTTCTCTGGATTCACAGCAAATAAGGGAAGTTAGAAGAAAACTCCATGTAAGTATTTGGGAAAAAGTTAATAATAAAAGATAAGAAGACAATGAAGTAGTTTGGGAAGGCTGTAAAATCTTCATCGAAGGTCTGTAAGAGAAGATTAGACCAGTGAGTTCCAAGAAAAGGGACCGAGACTGACTTGGAAAGGAAGTCTTAGGACTCTGCTATTAGTTTTGCTGGGAATAAATAACAAAAAAGAGTTTGAAGGTCATCAGACAGTCGCCATGGAAGAATATAGGCTTTTAAATGCTCTGATATGTCTGCATGCTACTTGGGAGACAAGCGTGAGTTCACAAAAAGCAACTGACCTGAAAGCAGTGCAGACACACGTGACCTAGTACTGAGATAAAAAGGCCCACTCAGGGCCTGACACTATTTTTGGAGTTCCAAATGAAAAACTTTTTATGTAGACACTTTTTGCTGAAGGAGACTAAGACACTGTGGTTAAACTGCATTTAACTAAACAAAAAACCTGCAAAATTCTGTGGTCATATGCATTCATTTGAACTTATGTGCAAAACAAAATAAAAATGCATATTAATGCAGTAAATGAGAAACATGATGTGTGTAGAAACTTCTGCAGTGTGTTGACATATATCTGTAGAGTTTCTTCTCTCCTTTGTGAGGTCTGCAAAAGACAAGCAGATTTTTAATACACCTGCTTACTTTTTAAATACTCCTAGGCCAGAAGAACACTTCAGCCTGCTGTACTGTAATATTTTAAAAAGTATCCACTTGACTTGGATTTTTTCCATGTAGTTCACTATCAGCACTCTTGCTTACACAAAACACAAGAAAATACAACCATGCTGTGTGTGTCATTACACTTATATTATGCACTCATTTCTCTTATGTAAGTGTAATTTTAAATAAAAGGTATATGCTGAACTAAGAAGAACCTCTCAAAGGGTATAACTAACTAAACAAAATAAATAATTAAAAGACTTTTATTTTGCAGTAAATCTTGGAAGATGCTATAGAGAAGGAGGATGTTTACATCAGTTCAAATGCCAGTGAGATCCTTAGAGAGCTTTTGTTTGCATGACTTGAACCTTGGCTTTTAAATAGAGCAGGTGCTCATCAGTCTTTTATCTGATTATTGAGAGGTCTATCCCAAAGTGGTTTTTGCCCTTCTCCAGTCATCAGCTTCAAATGAAACAGCTGTTCAAAAGATAGCAAGACATCCTGTTCTCTAAGGGGAACAGAATGTATATAGAGACTTAAATATATCATTTGGATAAAAAAATACAGCATAAAAAGTGATGCAAGTATGTATCACCTCATATCAAGAAGATATTCGGGTAGATAAGGATATGGCTGTACCTAAAAGAATGTGTGAACTAGCTGCATGCAAAATATCTTTCAGTCCATCCTGGCTGATCTTAGATTTGATGCTCACACTGAACTTTTGTAAAATTGGATTCATTCTAGAAGTGTATTATGAATTTGTGAAGGTTAAATTAATTAGAACAGCTTTAAAGTGTTTGAGTGATATAAAGAAATTCATAACTGATAATCATTCTCTCAATACCCTGTGGTGCCTAGTGTTGTAACAGCAAAGGGATACAAAGTACTTCTAAAAATTTTCAGAGAATGAATTTACTTTTAAAAAAATCATTCATAAACAAGTTCATTATTTTATATGTTATGTCTGATACAGAAAGTAGCAGCACTGACAAAGGTAGGTTAGTAAAAACTAAGTTTTACTTAAGTAAAAACTGAAGTTCTGCTTAAGTCTAAGTCTTTGAATCATTCAAATTTTGTCAGGAACAAGACAGGTTGCTAGTATAAGTTCTTAGCTTTTATGTAATTGTCTCTTGCATGATCCTTTGCTTGTCTGTCCTAAGATTCGTTAGTAGACCCTTAATAAAAATTCATTTTAATTGTGATATTGCAAGGAAATATTTAATGTTTACCTTAATTTCACTTCTTAAGCTGAGAGTGGATCCATCTGATTGTTAAAAACTGCGCATAAACTCAGAGTCTACTATATGTATACATGTTACTGCTTGTCCTTGTCAGACTACATTTCAGACCTTTACTTTTGTAGAAAAGTAAAAAATGTGCTGAATGAAGACCTCAGATGTAAATAAAAGATAATAAGTAACCTCTCTGTGTGTTTCATTGTCTTTAATTAAATCAGAAAACAAGGCAGAAAAAGGAAAGGTAGAAATGGGGAAAATGCAAAAGTCTGTATGTTTTCAATAAGGCAAACTGCTCTTCAGACAGCCTTTAGTGAAGACCTCAAAGTTTCTTTAGTTAGTGAAAACTGAAAAAATTTAAATGTTAAAATAGTTGCAAAATTAGATGTTTGGACTCTGAAACTTTTTACACTGATTTTTAGTTTTATAGTCCAGCATGCCCATCAATGAGTGCTGTGCACTTCAGCACTTGGAGTAGGCCTAACTCTACTACAGGGCTTGAGTTGCTATGTAGATGAAAAAGATTTTCTTATTTTTTTTCATGTGGCTAGCACAAGGGGGTAAAAACATAAGTACTTTGAAAGAAAAGTTGGAGGGTCTTAGGAGAAAACTTGACAAAAGGGGAAGATTTTGGAAGAAGCTAGAGAAGACCAGAGAGACAATCAGGATGCAGCAAGACCCAAAAAGAGAAAAATAGAATATTTGTCTTGTCCTTCTGGTGTCTTAATGTAGTCCTTGAAAAATGGTTGCACCAGTAGTGTTCATCCTTGCACACAAACTAATTTAAGGGAGCAAGCCTCCAGGGGCATGTTGAGAAAGGAATCAGTCATCTATAGTTTTATGTTGGCATTCATTATTGTTATCTGGCATTATATGTGTGTATGTATTCCATAAAAACTGGAATATGTCCAGTTCTCTTATCTTTTGTCCAAATATTGGACCAGATTTTTGTTTGGTTGATTGTTCAGTTTTGTTTTATTTTATTTTGGTTTTAGTTGTCTTTTGTTGTTGCTATTTAGTTCTTTTTGCAACCTGGAAATAAAACCAGCTGTTTCATGTTGCTGTTAAAAACATCTAGACGGCATGCTATATAAGATCAGAGTATGTTTGTAAGTAGAGTATTAGTCTCCACTACAGTGGTGAGAGTATTTATGGACTTCAAGGTCTCAAGAGAAAACTGGTGTTTCAGTGGGTGACCAAATTGTATGCTTTGTGGTCTTTACAGGTCAACATACAGAGCCGCAAAATCCCAAGCTGACATAATGAACAACCAAGGGGCTGGTGTTCTCTGTTGCTGGAGATGTGGAAAATATATAGCAAATTCTGTTTTTCTTGCAAAATGTAGTGAGAAAAAAACATCCCAAGTAAGTATAGCTTCTTCTGAGGGAGTTTGTAAGTCCTTCTGGTGCCATTTATTTTAAATGAAGAAGTATTAGACTTAGCCTCACTTTGTACTTAATCTCTCGTATGTAGTAAAGAAGAGACATTTCTGTAGAGAGTAGTGGAGGAAATAATTTTAGTGAAGCCAAGTAGGCAGTGATCACCTTCATGTTCTGCCATATGCAGGCTGGTGCTCATGGACACTTGGCTACTAGCTTATATAGAGCACTACCGTTTCTAATATAAAAATGGGGTTTAGTTTTGATGGTTTTAAAGCAGTCTTTTTTTTTAATATCTCTTAATGGACAACTCTTTGTGTATAAGATGTATTTTAAAGACTGGTTCTAATTTCCGCTCTGGTAGTTAACTGTGTGTAAAATATCCCTACATCAGGGATATTTTGCTCTTCATTTTTTAAATATGGGCCATAGTCTGTGCACAAAAATAGCTCAGAAGATTAGTCTGCCCTGAGCAGGGTTATACCCTGCTCAGTAATTTATATTGTTTTTATTAAAATAAACAGAAGGATTATTACACAAAATAAAACCGTGACAAAGTATTTCCTACTGTTTTATAATGGCAGCTACTAATCCTAAAGAGCTAGGGTCTTTCCAAATGTGCCAAAAAGGCTTACAGCCTCTTGAGTCAAAGTTAAAAAGCAAATAGAAGAGAAGGTGGTGATGTTTTTTATTAATGTGTTAGTAATGCAATAACATTCTTTTGCACACTAGACAGGGGTACAATCAATAGATGTAGAAACAAAGTTAGTTTTTAAGATCATGATAGTATTATCAATAAAACCCATTTTAATCACTCTGCTTACAGAGCTTGAAGTTTTAGAATAATTTTCTCACTTTATATTTGATGGTTCTTTTATGCATGGTTTGAAGTGATTTTTCGGGGGGGAATGTGGAAATTCCAACTCCTTCCATGGAAAAAAAATGTAGTGAAAATAAAAAGATACCTTTATCCAAGTTCCCTATGGTGGAGCTTTTAGTTGTGAGTGGAGATCCACCCATCATTGCACATGGCTGAGGTAGTTTCTCCTCCATTTTTGTAGATAGCAAATTAAAAAGTGTAATTTCATGCTATATCTAAAGAGGTTGGGAGTGAAAGTACTAGGATGTAGAAGACTAATGTTTTCAGCATGTTTTCACAGATGATTTTTAGACCTTCACACAGAGACATAACTGAATAATGAATGAAGAAAAATGCAGAACAAATTTTAAAACAAATGTTGAAGTTAAGAACACAGTCTAAACACTAATAATTAAATGTACATTGAAGTGCAGATGATCTTCACAGATAGGACAAAAAGCCAGCATAGGCATAATAAATGGATCTGTCTTCTGTCAATACTTGGAAAATTTTTTAAAGCTTCTATCTTCTATCTATAGCCCCACTTCTAATTCTCAGCAGAATAAAATTTTTATTTCAATGACTTTAATAATATGGGCATTGACAACTTTCCTTATTCATAAATTTTAGCAGCTGATTTTAAGACTTTCTCACCAGTTTCCTTATAATTTTAGCCATCCCTGTAACACTTATTTAGTTAGGCAGTTGTTTTAATTTTAGTATCAATTAGTGAAATGCTACAGGATTTTAGATTTCTTTTCACTTGATCACATTGCTGTAAAAACTCTAAAGTTGATAAGACTACCTGCTTACTCTGTTAGTTATTCTAAAAAAAAAGAGAAAATGAATTCTACTCATTGCATTTGTGCATTGCTGATCACAGTCTTTATGTAAATTATAACTTATATTTTTCTGTCTTTACTGAAAAATTATGCCAGCTCACAGTGATTCTTAAATCAATTTCCAGATATTCTTGGAAGGCCTGCAACAGCATACTTTCTGTTCTTTTAAACAAAACAAAACCACCTCCAGACGCCTACATTTCCACAGGAGTTTGCCCAATATTTTTAGATTCAGAAATAGATAATTACTGACAATATCTATCTGATTTTTAGCTTAAAGAAGCACATCATATTTGAGATTTTTTATTTCTTAATGTTTACCGGTTTTGGGGAACTGTCTTCTGACTATATTCAAAGAAAAAAAAGCTTACATAAATTTTGAGTAACAGTGTAATTGTTTTATTAACAGATATCACAGCCTTCAGCTGCTGCTCAGAATTCTTGCAATGTATGGCATGTGAGCTTAGAAGCCATTCCAGAGTGGGTGAAATGTGTGATTGAAAAGGTAGTAGATTTTTTTTCTTGCATCTTCATTATTCAGCATGTAAAATAATTAAGGGGGACAAATTTCAAGGACACTATTCTGGCAAGGTCCATGTATGTTACAGAGACCTTGTAACTGAGGGAATTCTTCTCAGGAACATCTATCATTACCATTTACCATTACCTTTTTTTTCCTCTCTTAAATATTGTTTCATTTTGTTTCGCTTTTTAATATATGCAGAACTGCTACAAGTGATAAATTCTGTTTCCTACTCTTTAACAGATGAATGTATTTATGGCTGTCCAAATAACTGTCATGGGCCTCTCTGCATGTTTGTCAATGCTTAATATTATATTTATTACCTGGGCTTTGGGGTTTTCTTTGTTTTGAGCATCATATCTTGATGTATAGGTTGACAGGGACAACAGGAAGCATGTTTTCCCATAAAAGTGGAGTCCAGATTTGTTAAGAGAGCAGTTTTTGGAATATGATGTGTTTTATACTTAATATGCTCTTATATGTCATATGAATATGAAGTAGATACTTTTCTGCAAATTCAAAGGTCTGATGACAAGCCAGTGTCACTGCTTTTGAGTTTTAGCTGCCCATTTGTAAATTACAAACCATCTCATAAATTTCTTGTTGTACTGACTGCTTCAGTTGCTATTTTCTCTAAGTTGTTGATGATCTAGAAGTTAATGTTGTGGCATAGATACCAATAAGCAGAAGCAGTGGGTTTTTTTGCCTCACTGATTTTCTTTTATGAATCTTTGATTTTGATAAGTAAATTTTATTTGCATTCCTTAGACTTCAGTGTAAAATTTTGCTGTATTTTAAGTAATTTCTGCCCTAAGCAAGCCTATACTGAAAATAATGCACAAAGAGAAAAAAATTGTTATGACTGTAGAACTAAGCATACAGAAATTTAGAAAACCTTAATCTTCCTTCTTTGTATTTCTCTATGTGGGATTTTTCTGTTAAACATTAATTAAACTTTTTAAAATTAGTGATATCCTCTACTTCAATGAATTAAACATTGTTGTGTTATAATAGTTATGTTCACAAACACTAATCTTAGAGGTATGTTTGAAAATTACAGTTCATGAGTTGAGTTATAGTATGAGTCACTTTACAATATCGCCTAACCATGAATCTTTAATAATAAGGCAGTTTTTTAGAGGTTTTTTTGCCTCTTAAATTATTTCAGTATAATTGAATTCAATATTGATAGTAGTATTATTCTTTTCACTTTTAGCTTTTAAATTATTATTTTGCACCTTTAGCTTTTGCATTTGAAAACCTGGAGGGTCAAACTGGGGACCGAGGAAGTGTAAAACCCATTGAATGCTTGGCACATTTGCTTAAGGATGCAGAGGAGCAATTCTCCTCTGGTGAAAAAGGCAGACAATGCAATTCTCTGTGTACACCTTTGACATCTTTGTGTTCACTGTGTCACTTAATATCCTTGGAACTCTTGCCTCATTCACTTTGTCTCCTCTGGCAAGATCCTGTGTTTTTATGGGTAAGTGTGGGGGAATGCAGGGTGTTAAACAATTCTGACTTACCTCCAGATCCTCCTGAGCTCTGAATAATTTTGTGATCATGTGTTATTTTCTCCTGTATGACTCCTGAATCAAAGGCTAAATCATTCTGCATAAGTGCAAAGTCTATTTGCAGGCTGTAAAAACCCACTGCTTCCCAGCCGGTTCTTTTTTGCCATCTGTCCCTGTTCTTAACCAATCTTCTTGGATTTCATGTACGTATTAGTATAGTTAATCTTCAATAATTATAAATATGTAGCTAATGCTGCTAGTGACCTTTATTGACCTGGATTTTCTGTTACCCATCACTTATTGCTCGTTTTGGTTTCTTTTTCTAACCATTTCCATTTTCCCTCCTTATGCAGTCCATCACTAAATCTATGTACCCTCAGCTCCCTTTCAGATCTTGCCGATTTTCCCCCTACCACCTCCTCCACTAGTAGGCTGTTACTTCTTTTACTGAGTCAGTGCTTCCACACTCCATTGCCAAACTCATGCTAAATCAGTCCCAGGCTCCTTGGTACTACACCTCATCTCCCAGTCTCTGTGCACATGGGGCATGGAGGTGTCCTTTTTCCTCCTGTGTCTTGCATGTCCATTTTTTGCAGGCTTCTGGCCTTCTGTGAATCATTTTGTCTCTCCATTTGAAGATTGGATGCTATTCCATCCCAAAAAGACCCAATAAAGTCACAAGAAAGTGCTTTTCTCTTAATTTTAATGTCTAGCCCCTGTCATCTGTGGAAATGGGAAATGGACTGTGGGAGACTTAAGAGTAAATCTCTGAAGAAGCTTAACTCTTCTTTGGGAATGGCCTGTGTACACATCGGTCAGTCTTATTAAACTGAGAGCCATTGTGAATGTTTGCAGAATTCTCAAGAATTTGAAAGCCTGTGATTATGTGTAAACTATTCTTTTTGAAAATAACTTTTTCCACACAAGTTGCTGGAGTTTTTTTCTGAAACTGCTAAATTGGTCTTTCTGACATTTTCTGTACTTTTGAATGGGACAAGGATCAGTTGTGGACATAGCTGTCCAAATCACCTTGAAGGGCATTTGCAACTGAAAGCAATGCTTAAACTAGAAATGTTGTGCACCTTCTGTATTCATAGTTGTTTAGACTCTCAAGTCAGTTAAATGTGTCTGGAGTTGATAATGTTGTTTCTCATCTGGGCTTTGATCCTAAAAACACTTGCATAACTTTAGTCCTCAACAGTACTGCTGACAAATGAATATAATTGCTGAAAATACTAATAGTTGTCTAAATATATAGGAGGACTAATAGTTGTATTAATATGTAGGCATTTATAGATTTTTGATATGTATTTCCTTTTGAAGAAATGCCTTCGGGGTTGAAAAGAATTCATAAAACTATAAATAATGAAAATAACTGTCTCCCTATATTTAGAGTATTAAGGATTTGTCATGGTTTCTGGACAGAGATTATGTTGTAAAGCTACAAACACCAAAATACAAACACCATTTTAAGCTTTTGCGGGTTAATCTAAGTGAAAAGCTATATTCTTTTTGTAAGAAATCTTCTTCCACCGTACTTAGTATGTAAGAAATGTATAAGTGCTCAGAACACTCAGCTGAGAAGCTGTGCTTGCCAATTCCAGATTAATTTGGGAAATTGATTTTACTACTTTAAAGATCTAATGTTTTCATTAGTATTGCAGCATTATTCTATCTGTGGACAAATTCTAAACATATTTCAAAGCTTTTACATTTTACAATGTGTTTTGTAGTTTTCTTAGAATTTGTTATCCCTGCAGCAAGCCAAGCTTTGACCAGAACATTATTTATGGTGAATTTGCTTTCTGCTGTGAAGTATCTTTTATTCTATTTGAAAAACAAGAAGAAAATGCTCTTACTAAAGGAGAAAATAACTTCAGTAATTATTTCTTACTCATTTATTTTCAGTGAACATGTTGTGTGTTTTATTTTTTTCTCTTTTTGTCAATAGGCACAGTGGACAATTGGAAAACTGCACTGTCCATTCTGTGAGGCCTGCTTAGGTGGCTTTAACTTTGTTTGCAACAAAGAATGTTCCTGTGGACAGTTAGTAAACATACATTTCTTCAAAACTTGGACTGAGGATCAGCCACCTTTCTCTGTTGAATTGTCAGAATCATCAGAGAAACATTTGCTTCTCAAAATTCAGTCAGGTTTTAACAAGGATACCTGCCATGAAGTGGTAACTGCAACTTTGGAAATCATAAATCAAGGGCTTTCATACACAGCTGGAAGTAATAATGGCACTGGAAGATTAATAGAAGCACTTTGTCTAGAAGTAAGAGCTCCCAGATATGAGATAGAAAGTAAAAAACTTCCCTTAAAGACATTAAATCAAAAAAGAAATCTCCCTTCTTCTTATCCTATAAAAGATTCATGCACTGTAAAACCTTTTCACAGACCATGTAGCTTGCATTTAAATATCAGAGAAAGACTTGTTTTGTCACCTGTGTTATATGAAACTTGCGGCGTGGGACCACTCTATCATGGCCCAAGTGAAAATGCACCTGCTTATGTACAAGGGAGCTTGCAATTAGAGGCCAGTAGAAAAGGTGGTAGTTCTTTTCAGGATCTGTATAGTTCCAGGGCTGAGATACTACAAAAACAATTTCAAGTTACTTCTGTTACTACATTACTACACAGAGACACTGAAAGTGAGTGTGACTTTGAAGTTACTGGACAATCTTCTGGTACTGTCATTGCTGATGGGTCACCATTTGTGATGAATCTTTCCTCGCCTACAAGGGCTGTCAAAGACAAACAGTACATCACACCTGGTGGTCTTGTGCAGCCTATGAGTATCTCCTTCAACCAAAAGCTGAGTAAAAGAGAAAGAGACAAGTCAAAAAGCCTGAGGAGAAAACAAAGGCGAGAACAATGTCTACTGAAGCAAGTAAGTGTTTAAAATTAATTATGCTACTTTTTTGGTATAGTTTGACTTGCTTTTCGAAATAATTCAGATTTTTTTTTTCATGTTGTCTTTTAATACTGGCTTAATGTGGAACTGTCTACAGTTCCTACCTGACCTGCAGTCAGGTATCAGGCAAGCAAAGATGTGTGAACCCTTCCTATATGTAGTTTTTTTCTAAGTCTGTCATATCAGCTTTTCTTTCTGGGCAAAATCAAAACATGATGGGTTTTCACTGGCCTTCTTATTGTTTTGTGATGTCATATTAATTTGAAGTGGGAAAAAACACAGAGAAATTTAATCTGTGGGATTAAAGAAAAACTAAAAATTTGAATCTTCTAAATGAGGAACCTTACCATGACAGAATTTTCTAACTTTAAGTTAATGGTGTTTTGAGTTAACTTTATAGTTAAGTATGTTTTAAATGCCTTCATTATTTATTGTATATTATTATTATTATCATCATCATCATCATCATCATCATCATCATCATCATTCCATAAAAAATATTTTGCTATGAGTAAAGAGTTGATTACTGTTATTTAAAATATTAGTCCTTAATAGGACTAATATTTTAAGTAACAGTAATAATATTTGCAGATAAATATTTTATCTGCAAATCTTACCCAAACTGTTACATATTCTTATCAATTGGACAGTAATGGTTTCCTTTTTTAAGGCATATAAAGCAGAACAGAATTAAAGGTGATAGGCAGTCACAATTTTTGGTGGAAGGCTGGGAAGGAAAGCCAGTCATGAAATGACTAACACAGTTTTGGTTTCCTCTCAAATTTAGTAGAATGACTAATGATAAATATGCCTTTATAAGAAAATTTCTCATCATAAATTTCCTGCAAAAACCTGTGTGGTAAGCAAGAGCAACCTTACTAACTAATCAGAGAAGTAGTATCTACTCAAGCAATTATTCCTCCTTTGGGAAGCTTTGTCATTGTGAATTCAAGATTTAAGAGAGATACTTAGAGGGTGTCTCTCTCAATTAGATATGAGAACCAGCTTGAAAACGTAATGGGTCTTGGAAATATTATGAGTCTTTTCAGTATGGTGTGCATATATTCTTTCTTCTTTAGGAAGGCTTTTTGTTTTGCTTTAAGACTTAAACTGCTATTGAGACCTTTTGAAAATTTGTTCTCGTAAAACGCATCTATTAAGCTGAGAATGTGGATGTCTTAATATTGAATACTTGTTTTCTAATAAGCCTAAAAAGATTCTTAGCTGTCCAGGTCCTTAAAATGGCTTTAAAAATTCCAGATCTTATTGTTTTGGTCAGTGAAATTATGATCCACAAGCACAATGTACATTTTTCAATTTTATCATGTCATCTACAGTGTCTCCAGACACTTTAATCTTTAGATGTTACTTTCAAGAATAAGACATCGTACAGATTTTCTGAATTTTTGATAGCTAAGGAAGAAAGATACTTTCAGAATTTTTCTTGTTAAGAAATGCTTAACCTATTCCAACATTATTTTAGTTACATTTGTTAAGATCTGATTATTGGAGAGATGCGTCTAGCCAAATTAAGGTGCAAACGAGACCAAATGCGGAAGGCAATAGTATGAACTTCATCTAACAGTAAGTGGGAGGTACAGAGAGATAGAAAGAAATAGAAGAAGAGAGGAGAGGAGTGAAAAAGAGTGAGAGAGACAGATTAAGTAAAAAGGTATCACCAACCGTGGTTCCAGACATCATCCCACTGGTCCTCTTCTGGTCTTCTCAGTAGTGAGGGTCCAAGGTCACTCAAAACTTCTCCCCGTTTGTACATTTTAGTTAACAAAGGAATCACTGCTCATTGCATACACATTTTTGCCATTTTCTTGGTTAAATGATCTGCTTGTTTCCAATGCTGAGTGGTCCCATGCTCAGTTTTCCTCTTCTTTTGAGTCAGTGGGCCATGGCCTCTTCCTTCTGAGCTGAGCCCAGTCAGAGCTGACTGTCAGGGCAGTTGCTGAGCTGGCTTTTCTTACACCACCCTGTGGCTCAAACACTGGGTTCCAGGGCCTCTTCCTCAGTTCATGGGTTGTCTGTGGGGGTGACAGAGATAGAGGGCCCTACAAGAAAATACAGAAACAGCAGAAGCAAGAACACAAGTAATCATACCATGTACAATAGCTGTGCAAATCATTAATAATACAAGTCCAATTCCACTTACTAACCCAATCCTGATTAGGCACTGCCCCTACCAGTGATACACAAGGATCTGAGTGTTGTTTAATTGGTAGTGGATGTGATGGATTCTGCAATACTGTGTCTGTTGGATGTAGGCCAACTTTAGCTATAGAATTACAGAGAGCATCTTGATTTTTAAGTCCCATAGGCCAGTATCCCAAATAGATACATACATTATGTGTTAAGATGGGTCAGTTAGCCTGCTCTGAAGTAGATTTTCAGGTCACTTAGTACAGCTGATTACACAGTTGCACACTGGGAATAAGTCTGAATGGATTTGTTGAAAAAGCGTGCTTACATACTTCAAAATTTTTTAACTAAACACTTCAAAGTGTACTCTTTCAACAATATCCACTATAGTTGAAAGAATTTTATAGGCAATGTTCCTGTCCAGCTGAGTAATTCTATGTTGGGGTTTTTTGGGTTTGGTTGAGGTTTTTTTGGGTTGGGGTTTTTTGGGGTTTTTGTTTTCTTTGAGGTTTGGTTGGGGTTTTTGGGTTTTTATTTTCTTTAATTTTGATTTCAGGGTGCAAATGGCCCTCGTTGCTGCCAGAGTAAATTGCACCCACAACTGAGAAGCGCATGTGGTGCAGAATGCACTAGAGTAACTATATTGATTAGCATAAATAAAATAAATTAGGTGAAGTTAAAATACTCTGTTAGGACACACTGTAAAAAGTCAGTGTACATCAGACATCTTCAACAGGGAATATAAATCTCTGATTTGATTTGGAATGTCTCATGATTGATAACATATTTTGTTCCAAAACTGGTCACAAGTAAAGTTGCTTAAGATCTGGTAAACAGCCTTTTTGTGTTATACCCATGCCCCTTTTTTGGTCCATGGCTGTCTGTCCTTCTGGTCTAAAAAAGAAATGTTCCATTTCACATGGAACATTTGTTTTGTTAGGATTATTCAGCTCACTCATTAATATCTCTGAAAAATGTAGCCAAATTATCCTAAATCTAAAGCCTTTTGAGGCAGAACTGGTTAATATGTATTTGTATGATTCCATATATACATAAATTCTTATGCCAACTCCCAGGCTAAATTTGATTTAGACAAAATTATACATTTATGAGACAAAAGTAAAAGGTCTTCCCACACCATTTTTTTTCCAGTAAAAGATAAAATAAGCTTGGCAAAACATCAAACTAACAACACATAAAATGGTTTGACTAATACATGGTCTCCCAACAGGTTCACTCACAATGAAAACACAAATCACAAACATTAATAAGTTGATACTACAAGCAATTATGGTGGCAATTAAAAGCTTCACTGGTTTCATGCAGCTCGGTCTCATATGTTGGCAGGTTCCTATAAAAAGAAAAGTGAAAATTCAGCCTACTACAGACAGATTATTGGGAGGATGAAAAATCCATCCAGTGTTGATTCAGAGGTCCTGTGTCTACCAGGGAGGATAAAGGCCCTAAAGGAAAAGTCATTATTGTATCTTCTTAGCTGGCTTCTGCGAACTTTCTCATGTAAATCCACTGATTCACCCTCTCTGAGCTGGTTCTTTTGATCTTCAGTGTGGGCAGGGAATGCTAGCACTCCTAGGAGAAGAAAGCAACACAAACTTCCTGGCAGATTACCCCTTAGAATTTTAACTTCTGTTTCATGAAGTGTTTGGTGCACTCCTCTTGTTTCTTCCTTCATCTTTTCATGGGGCATTCCTCTAATTTATTTCGCATCTGGAGGAAATAAGACTGCTTGCAAAATTTCGGGAAGTGTTGAATTTGTGAATTAGGGAGTGCTTTAATGGCTTAGCCCAGATTTCTTTTAGGGTTAAGATTAGCAGACTTCAGTTTCTCATCCAGGAGCCATGAATTAACCTTATTTTGGCAGATAACACTGGCTCTGTTTACTCCAATGATTTTACCTCTTTGCCATCCTGAAAGTATACCCAGATTTCCAGTATCCTAATAAATTAATATTAATGGATTTCAGTCTTGCCTGATGTATGACCAGGTTTTGATATCTTAGTAGATACATAAGGCACCATTTCAGTAGCTCTTTGCTGATCCTGGCAGTCATTTGGGGTTTCAATTTTAATTAAGTATCAACACGCTACTGCCTTGTCATCAGATGTCAATGTTAATGTTAATGTTACATTTTGCTCTTTTGCAGAACCACAGACTCATGCACTGTCTCCCAGCTCCTCCCAACTGAACAAAATAATGTCGAGTTACAAGATCATGTTTCAGAGTATGTTAGAGGTTCTGCATCCTGCAGTTATTCCCCTAAGATTCTCCCTCTTTCTCATTCATATTCTAAAGTTCTGCCTGAAGCATTTGGGCATCATCATGCTTGACAGCTAGCAATTCCCCTACTTGCATTCTTTTTTCATTTTCCTTATTTAACTGAAAGTGCTATTCTTCCACCAAATCTCATAAGGATACGGTTATTTCATCTTCCTATTTTTGAATAATCAATAGCTCATTATGAGGAACCAATAGGTTAATTTTCTTGCGTAAACCCACCTGTCATGTAGGAGGGAAACTAACAAATTTTTCAAGGAAGAATACAAAAATACTTTTTTTGCACTGACTACCCTGGACAGCCATTTTTTCAAAAGTTCCCACAGAAAAAAACATGTAACCTTCCTCAGAGGAAAGCTGTGGCAAAGTTTCCAAGTGTTCCCAGGGAAGGAACCACACAACCCCCCCTAGAGGGAACTGTACTATTGTCAAAGACAATTCAGATCACAGTATCCTGCCAACTATTACAAAATAATGTTAAGATCCCATTATTTGAGAAAAGCCTCTGCCCAAATTAAGGTGCAAACGAGACC